ATCATCCTCTTGTGAGGAACATCCTGGATATAAGAATTTTGACAAATGAATTAGATTATAAAATGTTGAGATTTTGTTCGAGCACTAAAAGAGATAATATTCAGATCAAAAACTAGAACATAAAGAACATATTTCACTATGGAATGGTAATCAATCTTAATGTCCCTAACCAAATCCACAAGAAGAACCACTTTATTTGGAAGATTCATTGTGTGATGATAAACTTTTCTTGTGTCAACAGACATGTTAAGATCATGACAAACATGTTGAGATGCTCATGAATCAAGAATCCACATATATGAGTTAATTCTACTATTAATAGTCATTTAATAACACTTACCTAAAGTGGTAGTTTCATGTGGATTGACAGAAATCATATGATTGGACAAAGCAAACATCACTTGCTGGCATTATGCTTGTGAAAAACCACAAAACATATTGCTCAATCATCACTAACAGATGGATTGTTCTCAATAATGACATTGTCATTAGTAACATCAACATTAACATGATTACATCTTGGTTGTGGTTTATGACGTTGTGGATACCCATGGAGTTTGTAGACTTTTTCCATAGTGTTCCCCTGAAGCTTGCAATGAGTGCAAAAAGGCCTCTCTCTATTTGAATTATTGAAATGTCTGTTGGAATTTTTGTTGCTTGTTTGAACTTTGTTATTTTGATTCGCCATAGCAGCAAAAGCAATCGATGATAAGTTTTGATTATCATTGGAAATCATATTTTGTTTTTCTTATAAAGCAACAAGAGAGAAAACTCAATTAATAGCAGGCAAAGGATCCATGAGTAGAATTTAACCTCTTGTTTGTGATAAGGATTCATTTAATCCATTAAGAAATTCATAATCTGTTCAGCTTGAAAATACTTCTTAATATTTTGAGCACCATTGCATTCATATTTGCCACACGAACATCTTGGAAAAAAATTGTCAAGTCCATATGATAATGACTTCAATTTCATGAAATATACATCAACAATATCTTGACTCTGATTTAGATTGACAATTTCTCTTCGAATTTCAAAAATCCAAGGACCATTACTCTATTGATATCGAAAATTGAGATCTTCCCAAATGTCTTTAGCAGAATTGGTATATGTGAGACTGATAGAAATTTCTTTGGAAACATAATTGAGAATCCATGAGATGACAAGTAGATTTTTTCGCATCCATGAACTATGATTAATTGTTTCAATGGAAGGAGGTTCATGCAATGATCCATCAACAAATCCTATCGTGTTCTTAATTGATAGAGCAATTAAAATGGATCTACTCCATGAAGGATAGTTCTCACCAGTAAGTGGTTAAGAAACTAGAATGAATCCGAGATTATCCTAATGATGAATATAATATGGAGATAATCGATCATCAATTGGTGAAAGATTGGATAAAGATTCAGGCATGATGAAATCAAGAAGAAATGAATCGATAAAATACAATTTCACGAGAAAAATTTGTGAATTGAGAAATCAAATAAATATAATTCACAAGAAGAATTTGTGAATTGAAAAATCAAAGAAATAGAATCAACAAGCACAACCTTACAAAATAAGAATGAATGTTTGATTCAGATCAAGAACATATGAATTGTTAGTGGAAATTTGAGTCTCTCTTCTGATACCAGATTACAAAGAGGGGCGACAGAATGAATCTTCATGCATTGAAATGACAGAGTACAATTACATATACACATCAATAGAGAAAGAGTGTCTATCTGAATAAGAAAAAACAGACTAACTTCTAATATTTATAATCTAGCCCTTCTTTTATTTTAAATTATAGAATCACCCTCTAACTTTTAATAAATTATAAAAATAATTAGTATTATAAATTAATAATAGGGTGGTACTAATATGGTGTTTATGAAAAGACAAAATGCAAAAATGGTCTCTGTGTACGCATTTTTTTTTTTTTGAGTTTTTGTTTATATCCAAACTTTTTTGGCTTCGTGGCCCTTTTGGTCATGTTTCTATGTGGTTTTAGTCCTTCTGAAAACTAAAATTATTGTAATACCCTTATATATTTATTTTTATTTTTCTTTCATTCTTTATTATGTAAATAATTAAAAAATACTAATGAAAAACCCCACATCTCTCTCTCTCTCTCTCTCATAAAAGGAACACACAATTAACTAAAACAAATACACATATATACACATGAGGTGGAGTATGAGAATCCGTACCAATTCTAATTAGTAATCAAGAACTCCACCTAGAAAGAAGGAAATGATCGAATTTTTTGCTTCCACCATTTTCCAGATGTTGAAATCAGTAATCAAGAAGCTACAAAAAAAAGCCCTTTGGTGTTCACCATTTAATTTTTAATTATATTGAAATTCGAGTGTACATGAAATATTCCCATAATCTCGTTTGTTTGGTTACCTGCATACACACGTGGGAAGAAGGGGGTATGATTTTGCCGGTATGATTGAATATGAAATCGATTTTTTCTTTCATTTCTGAAGCTCAAGAACTTAAGACCAAAATCACAGATGCATATTTCGTCTTATACATCCATCACCAGAAAGAAAGAAACACACACACACACACCAATCATAGGTTATCGGAGGAACAAGGAGAGTTGGTAACTTGAGGATGAGAGAACAATTTTAGATTAACACACACCTTCTTGAAACAATTTCATATTCACACATCGATTTCAAAAATAAAAACGCACACACAAAAATCAATGATTGGGGATGAACAAATATATGTAAATCGTTTCCAAGATCAATTTCTGGGTGTTTTTTTTACATGCCAATGGAAGTAGAGAACGAAGGTGGGCGCAGGGGTGATTTACAACATTAGTGGTGATATCAAAATTAATCAGAGGTTTGCAAAGACTTTAGCTCAAAGAAGAAAATTTCCACCCCTGAAACCCATTCGTAGGTGTGTGGCGGTTTCCGATACGGTAGTTCTCGATGAAGTGGAGAGTATGTGGTGGGTGGGTGGGGGAGTGTAGGTGAACGAGTTTATTTAAGATGTCCTGCCATTTTGAACTTACTTGCATGTCGTTATCTTGATGAAGACGATGAAGAAAGAGCCGAATAAAAAAGATTTTTTGCAAATGATTTATTTCTCTGAAGACTATGAAACTCATAAAGCTTCATGGGTTTAGTTCTTTTTAAAAGAGAGAGAGAGAGAGAGAGAGAGAGAGAGAGGGGGGGAGAGAGAAAGAGACAGAGAGAGAGAGAAGAAAGAGAGAGAGAGAGAGAGAGAGAAAAAAAAGTGTTTTTATTTCTATTTTTTAGTTATTTAAATAGATAAATAATAAAAGAAAAATAAATAAATAAATATATATATATATAAGAGTATTACATTAATTTCAGTTTTTAGAGGGACTAAAAGTTTAAAACCACATAGAAATATTTCCAAAAAGACCATGAAGCCAAAAACATATGGGTTTGGATGAAAACCTAGAAAAAATACATACCATAGGACCATTTTTGCTGTTTTTTCTTATGAAAAATAAATAGGATGGAATATACAAGATGACAGAGACGTGAACATCAGGTTTTGTATATAATTGTATCCTGTTAGCGTTCACATCAAGCATGCTTGGGGAGACGATGAAATAAAAATAAAGGCAATTGAGTATTGTGTTTATTAATATAAGAAAAGAGTTTTAGATTACCTTGTGTTGCTCTCATTTATTGAACATATTTACAAATGACGTGTTTAAATCAAGACTGTAGCTTTATAATTAGGTATATGTTCCAGGGACATACATGGCATGCTTTATAATAGGGAAATTGACACAGTAGCACAACTAACTTTTGGCTTTGTCCCGGATTGGTCACTCAAGTTTTTTTTGTACAATTAGTCCCTCAACTTTCAAATTACCTGTTAATTACGTCATTTTGAGCAAGGAAACTACATGAACCGCGTTACTTTGTTTACGTGTTAATTACAAAAAAAAAATAAAAAGAAAACTGCAGGCCACGATGGCAATTCCACATATTTATCAACTTAAATGAGACGAGTCGAGTGTAATTGAGAAGGGCATAAGTTTCGGTTGTTATTCGTCGTTTTCATTAGCAATACTCCAAAAACTTCAACCAGAGCTAGAGTTTACAAGTCTTCCACAGAAGGAAGTGAAGTAAGAGGAAGAAGAAGCTATGTCAACCTCGAACCCCAATGCGATATTTCCAAATGCAATTGCAAATTATCAATCAGATTATGCCCATGTAGTGGGATAAATCTAATTGTTTGCATCTCTACCAATAGTACATAGTAATTCTCCCTTACAAATGCCTTTCAGAAAACATCCATCAAGTCCTATTATCCTCTTGTATCCCTCTATCCATCCTTTTTTCACTCCATCAAAGCAAACATAAAATTTACTACAGTACTTCTTCCCATCTAGCATGTTGTTGACATCAATTTTGACAGTTGAACCTGGATTTGATCTCCCAATCTCTTCTCCATATGACCATAACTTTTCATAATGTTCCATAAGAGTTCCATCTACTAATTCCAAAGCATATTTCTTAGCCCTCCTACATTTACCAAGACTGACATGAATACCAAATCTCCTAATAACTTCTCATCTTAATTTTTTGGCACTCATCTTTTGTATGTGTAAGATTTGTTTGGTGTAATGACTTCCTATCCATGAATATGAAACCAATAAACCTAACTTGAAGTTCCTAGCACAATTATGTTCTAAGTTCAAAGATTTAATTTTCAAGTTGTCTTCATCACTCATCCATGATGCCTATAACCTGAAGGTGCACTTAACCTTGCAACAATGTACCAATAACATTTTCATGTCATTTTTAACAAAGCATAATTGGTACTCATTGGCTACGGCATAGTTGCACAACATAGTTTTTATTTGATCTGGATTTTTTAAATCTCATACCAAGTATGGGCTTTTGTTTCTTCCAGTGTATTGACTCATTAAAAATGGCATGAAATTAACTCTTGGGTTCACTTTCATCCTCATCTTCTACATCATAGTTGGTATCCTCCTGCTCCACCTCTTCTTAGGCACACAATTTAGTCAAGAATTCATCATTACATGTCCTATTCATAGTGACTATTTCCTCATTAAAATCCACTATCACATCCCTAAGGGGACCTATTTCATCATTCCCACCACTAATGCAAGAATCATGGTCATCATGTGCTCCTTCTGACTCAAACATATCATTTATTCCATCACCAATATGGTCCACATAAAGGGATATTTGACCATGAGTTCCATATGCATCAAAGATGAAACCTGCATATTCCATTTCATTCGAGATAGGCGTAAGGCCATTCAAAAGGGGAGCACCTCGCTCATAATAGTATAGCTTCTTACAATCTAATTGCATGAAACGTTCGAGAAAAGTAATACATTATGAGTGTGTCATACCAGAAAAATCATGATCTATGAAGGTGAATTTCATACCATTAGTGTAAGATAAAGGACGACGAATAAACACCCCCTTAAAGTTCAGTTTCACTATCGGAAATGTCGCATTGGGGTTCGAGGTTGACATAACTTCTTCTTCCTCCTACATCACTTCGTTCTGTAGAGGACTTGTAAACTCTAGCTCTGGTTGAAGGTTTTGGAGTATTGCTAATGAAAACAACGAATAACAGGTGAACTTAAGTACTTCTCAATTACACTCGACTCGTCTCATTTAAGTTGATAAATATTTGGAATTGCCATCGTGGTCTGCGGTTTTCCTTGTATTCAGTTTTTTAATTAACATGTAAACAAAGTTATCGGTTCATCCAGTTTCCTTGCTTAAAATGGCGTAATCAACAGGTAATTTGAAAGTTGAGGAACTAATTGGGGCCAAAAAAAAAAAAATTGAATGACGAATCCTTGACAAAGCTTAGTTGTACTACAATGTCAATTTCTCTTAATAATATATACTTTCTTATATTATTGTCAAAGGAAAGAGCATCTCAATTGGTTTGTAGAGCTTTTATATCTACATAAGAAAGAAGAAACATTTTATCTTAGGTTTGTAGTTGCTTTCTTAATTAATATTTTAGTTCACCAAGTTCTTAATTAATTATTTTGTTCACCAAGTTCCTCCTCTTATTAGCATTGTAATGTAAAAATTGATTTTTGTAAAAAATTGGTGTGGAAGCAGATTATTGAGTACTCTAAGACAAGAACCAAAAAGCAATAACATTTGGATAGGATAGCATCCATCGACCTGCAAATGCATCCGAATTTCCATCGCTCTGCATTATCTCGACTCAGGTAAGTTTCTTTCAAAATAACATAACAATTTTTAGCTTGTTTAAAAATTAATGTATTGTTGTTATATTAATTTTCAATCTATTATAACAACAAATGATATTCATTTTGCATGTTGAGTAAAGTGTAGATTCATATAGATCTCCTAAAATTTGAATAGATAACAATAATGCACTTCTCGAAAATGATGTAAATAAATATGTTCATTTTGTAATATATATATATATATATATATATATATATATATATATATATATATATATATATATATCTTTCTTATTGTAAAGAGAGATAGAGAGAGAAAGTAATGTATTGAACGTTGGCTTCCGTTGTTTGCACCACCATTCACCACGACAACTAGTTACCACTAACTAGTGGGATGATGTGCACTATAGTGGTTAGTGGTCACGTAAACCACGAATGGGCTCATCCTTGGTATACAAGATGGTCTAATCTGTTATGACACTGGGCCGTAGTGGTGGACGCTCTTAGAGGCCATGGGGGGTATAGCCTCCCCGGTTTTGAGGTTGATAATACCTTGTATGTAATTATGTATATAGTTTACTTACGAAAAAATCATTAACATGACTAACTGGCCGTGTTTATGAGCTTACTATAATTATTTAATTAACTTATAAAAAAATCATTTTAAGTGACTGGAAAAAGAATCAACTAAATATTCTGCAAATCACTGCAAAAATTAAAACTAACCTTCATTTGTTAGGAAACCAAATCAACGAAGAAATTACTCTCAAACTCTATAAAAACAAATAATCTTAATCTAATTTACAACTTTTCTAATTTTGAGTTTATAAAAATACTTCTTCGAAGAGCTGGAAAAAGATATCCCAAAGTTGCCTATAGCCGTCGTCGAAAGAAGAAATCTCAAAAGAAACCGCAGCAATTTGTTCGCCTCCTCATGCGAGCCACTTGACTACTTGCCTCTAATCTCAAATCTGTTGGTCGCTGCCTTTTTCCACTCATGTTTCCTCACCACCAGTGTAACAACGAAGCTGGATGTATTCCCTCAATATTTCTCTCTCTTTACTTACTTCATACTCATAAATAAGGCTTTGGAGTGGTCACACCCAACCCACCGAAAAAGTGATGTCACATGTGCGCAACGTCAGCTTCACTACCAACCCACTAAACATTGGAAATGGTTACCCTCCACAAATTCCTTTTTTTATTATTATTTTTTATTTTTATAACATTAAATTAAATAAAAAAACAAAATACAAACCATAATTTAAATAAAAACACACATTACATTAATATAAAAAACACAAATTAAAATCCTAAAATTCTTAAAAAACTTTAAAAAAATAAAAATAAAAATCCTAAATTACTTAAAATCATAAATATTAGAACCTAAATTTCATATTTGTCCTGGACTTGTCGTTGAATTTTAAGAAACGTCACAAGATTTTCAGGGTTGATATCCGGTTGGGGCTTTGTGTTTATGATTTGAAGATCGGTTAGAACTATTTTTTGGCGACGGGTTTCCTCCGTTGGTTCGTATTTTTTTTTTCTAGAAAACTAGAGTTTTATCTATAGATGTCGCAAGCTCGCCTTCACTAGTTGCCGGTGCTTTTCCGCTTGAAGACGCTCCCTTTCTCGCTTTGTCCCTTCCCGGTGGTCGGCAAAGTTGGACGTCCAATGGATCCTCCCCCTCGGTGGCATCGAAGTCATCGTTGAGGTCGAGTCCAAAACCCACGTCCGACTCGGACGTTCTTGCCCTTTTGTTGGAACCGGTGGTAGATCCCGAATGCGCCATTTCCATATATAGAACTCATTTTGGACCGTTACGACAAACTTCCCACGCTTTTTGGTGGCCGAACGATTTACCATTGCTGGTAATTTTGTATTCGTAGGTCGCGGTTGCTAAAATATTGAAATCGTTGCTACCACTTCTACGCATGCTTTTAATCTTGTCAAATATCCCATTGAATTTGGTGCAAGCCGCTCGTAAATCACGTCATTTTGTGTTGATCGAGTCGTACATCCACTCCGTTTTCTTTCCTAATAATGCGTGGAAATGATCTAAAATACGACACCAAAAAATTTGACCCGTTTACGAATTGCCGACATCCTCGTCTTGCAATATGAAAATTCAAGCTTTCGCTAAAGCTTCCTCCTCGTCTTCGTTCCATGCGGTAGTTCTTTTTTTTCTTGGATCTTTTGTTTTTTTTTTTGCCTTCGACAAGTTGGTTGTTGTGTTTCTTGGACCTGTTCGTCATCGTCATTATTGTCGAGATTTATAGGTTGAGATTGAGATAATGTAACGCTCCGATCCTCAGGTATTAATTAATTAAGAATTTCGGGATAAAGCTCTACTCGACGAGTTAGTTGACCTACTCGTCTAGTAGCAGCGGGGTGAGAACGCGTGTTTAGTGACCTACTCGGCGAGTCCATTATTGGGACTCGGCGAGTAGGAGTTGGCAAATGAAACCCTAAATCCCAGGGTTTGCACCCCTATTTAAAGGAGCCTTAACCTCCTTTGGGACTCCTTACAGTCTTTGAGAGCCCGTGAAACCCTAATTCGTGTGTGTGTGCCTTGGTGTGGGTTTGAAGCTTGGAAAAGAGGATCTTGGAGGAAGGAAGCTAAGAGTGCAAAGGAAATTGAAGCAAGAAATGAGTGGGAAGCGGGTTTTGCCTCAGCTAGCATCGTTTGAAGGTATCAAAGTATCATTCTTACTTCCTTTTCTTCCCTTTGGTTGATTCTAAGGCTTTTTATGGATTTTTAAGTTGGGATGTTGAGCTATGGGCTAGATTTGAAGTTTGCAACTTTATGTGGTAAGTGTGCCCTAGAGGCTTGGATTTGTGATTTGGAGCCGCTGCATGGCTCAAAACAAGTCTGTATGGAAAGAGAACTGGAGGGACTCGGTGAGTCTCAAGGATGAATCGGCGAGTCACATGAAGATCATCATTGAACTCAGCGAGTTGGATGAACAACTCGGAGAGTCCGATGAAGATCACCATAAAACTCGACGAGTTGAAGAACAACTCGGCGAGTCGGATGGCTTTTCCCTTGGATAGGCATGCGTGTGTACCCGTCGAGTTGCAAGGAGGAAACTCGACGGTGGCCCTTAAGGATTGATCGGGATTCGAAGGAACTCGACGAGTCACTCCGATGACTCGGCGAGTTGGAATGTACTCCATGGACTCGGCGAGTTGAGGTCAACATGGACGGTTGACCTTGACTGAGGACTCTGACCTTGATCAAGAATTACTAAGGGGTTATGGGGTGTCTCATAAGAGTAAGAACTTATGAGTATAATGTGCTATGGTTATAGGTGGTGGAGCCGGTGTCAAGTGATCCGATAGTTGGAGTTTGCATTTCAATCGACATCTGCGAGATTAGTTATCCTCACTATATCGATAGGTTCTCCGTCACCAAGGCCGACTCGTTATGATTTACATCCTGCGTTAGGATGGTTGCTTTGTTATTGCCATGCTAGATTTCATCCTGGTTTAGGATGGGTGTTATGTTATTGCTTTGTTAGAAGCCATCCTGTTTAAGATGGTTGTTATACTAGAGATCGGTTAGATCGGTTGTGATAGTATGGTACATATGATTCTGATCTGTTAGATTGGAATCAGGATAGATAGTATGTTATGCTTTTATGATCCGTAATGATTGGTATGTTAGTGACCTGTTAGGTCGAAACTCTAGTTACGAGTAAAACTATATGATTGATGGTCAATGAGATAGATATGTTTGCTATGTGTATATGCGAGTATATGATAGTATGCGTACATGGTTAGTTGCTTGTTGGTTGGGTTGAGGCGGTCCTGCTTTGTGCTGAAGGCCAACAGACCCTCTGAGCAGTCCGGGGAGACTATAAGCCCATGCGGCGGACCAGTCATGCCGAAGGCTCGGGATAGATCCAGATAGACTGTAGGCTCAGTAGGGCGGACTAGTCAGGCCGATGGCCCAGTATGTAGGTTGTTTGATTGATCGTTATGGTTATGGCTTCTGCCAGTGTGGTATTGGTATTTTGGGGGTAGCTTACTAAACCCTCGGGCTTACAGTTTTCAGTTTATTGTTTCAGGTACTTCAAGAGAGCGAGGGAAGGCGAAGGCGTGACCGTACCGCTCCTCATCCTCATGATCTATTTTGGGACACTCTGATGATAAATGAATTGGAAATGTTTTGTAAAAACAGTTACTATTTGACTCTTTTGTTAGTATTAAAAGTTTAAATTTGGCGTAAATTTTATGGGTGTTACAGATAATGAGACTTAAATGGTTGAAATTGTTGAGGTATAAAAAGGTTGTTGA